TCCCCCACTCACAGATGCCACGTGCACCCAAGGACCACCATGCGCCCCATCTAGCATACAGCAGCGCAGCTCGGCTATGGCTGCCTGCTCCTTCCAGCTCGCCTGTGAGCGTGTGAGCGCTGGCCAGCGTATAGCGCAGCATGCAGCCAGTGCCCAAATGAGGAATGCGTGGGCAGGCACTTTCCTAAATGGAAGTTGCCTGCCTGCTGCATGGAGCCTGGCTGCACTGGGCCCCTCCCCAGAAGCTTCCGGTAGGCCCAGAGAGGCTGTGCCCCAGTCCACAAGAATCAGGCCCTGGGCCTCTGGTGGTTGCCCGTGTCCAACTGCCCTCGGCCTGTGTTCGGTCCATGTTGCGTATCTGGCCCAGGGCCTGCCTCAGTTACACACGGAAAAAGGCAGCCTGGGCCTGGGCGCTCTCAACCAACTGGCGCTGCGCAACTGCCTGAAATTGCCCAGCGGTGACCCCAAAAGTAGGCCTGTAGGCCCTGGGTCGAGCCTGCCTTCACTTAGGGCGGCCGACTGTACAGAAAATAGGGCCCGATATCCAGAATCCAATCAATTACTCTTATTGGAAGTAGATAATCGGGTTGTTTGTACCAGCCAATACTCATTTACATTTACATCTGACTAACCCAACAAATTGATGTTGTGTGATCCTAACTGATGGCTTTGAATTTTGAAATTGAGTTGTGCAGCTGTGGACTCCTTGTGGTGTGCCATCTATTGTGTCCGGTGGGCCTGTGGGACCTGAGTCAGGAGACACAGTGAAGGCCATGTCAGACAACCAGAAAAACATGGTGTGGTCCCGAAGTTCATTGTAAGTCGTGATAATCAATAATGGGTACCATTTTTTTGCAGATCCATTACTATTATTTCTTCCTTGGGCGCATCTTTCAATGATTTGAATGTTGTTTTGAGGAGCCCCAAAATGCTCATCCCTATTTTGTTTATGTGGGCCTTAGAAAGCAGCTCCGTTCTGTTGTTGTGTGAATGGAATTTAATGGAGGAGCATCGAACTTGGCTTCCCTGCTTCTGTTGTATTTTGCCGTCCACCTTCCTTATGCGTTTGACCTTGACAGAGGGCATGGCTATTCACTGCATACAGAAATTATGTAATGACCTGCCAAACACGGACTGAGACACAACTGATTTCTGAGTTTTTCCAATGGAATGTATGCCTTGCTGAATTTTCTGCTTGTTGCTGAGTTTTCTAAGTCTGTGTGTGTGCGTGCTTACTGGTCTGCGTGCCTGTCTGAGTGCTGGTCAGTTTGCGTGTGTGTGTGACCCGCAAGGGTACTCATCCGTGCGGGAGGCCCGAAGGGCCGGTACTTACCTGTGGCCATGACATTGAGGCTTGCAGCGGGGAAAACACTCAAGTGGTGGGGAAAGAGGCCCGCGACACTTAGAGCAGCGGAAAACACTCAAGTAGCAGGTAGGGCGGTACCACACAAAGTAGAGGTAGATGTGCCGGGTACCCGATGCTGAGCAGAAGAAGAAAAAGTTGGCATTTCTAGAGGCTAGGTCTAGGCGGGTACCAGTGTACGGGCAATATCAGAGTCTGCAATGATGTTTCCCTCCGAAAGGGAGGAGGTACTGGTTGCTTGGAGGCCACATGGCCTGGAAGTCACCACCCAAGAGGCAAGCAGGCCGCCATATCTCCTGGAAGAGCAAAGAGCTCCTCCTCATTCTACGGTGTGCATGTTCGGCGACACGCTGCTTGGAGCGCTGTTGGGGAGGAAGGAGCACCAGAGGTACTGACCTGGCTATTGTGGATGCCATCTTCATCACCTTGGGGGGTGCTGCATCTGGAAGGCCCCAGTTGTGGTAGAGCTACACCAAGAAGCTTCGAGGCGGAGTCAGGCATGGCGGCCTGAGCTAGAGCAGCCATAGCTGCTTTGAGTGATCTTTTGCACATCAAGGCAAGGCCCTAGAAGAGGAAGGAGAAGGGTGGCCATGGCTATGGTGGACCTCATGTTGTACCTGCAGTAGAAGAGGGATTCGGATATTGATTCTGGTTCAGCCATTCAAGTTGATTCAGCATTATTATTATTATTTATTGTTTGAATAAGACGGGAGGAGAAAAGGAGGAGGAGAATGGTTGGCGAGAAGAAGGGAATTATCATTGTTCTTTGCTGGTGTACATCATCTTCTTCCTTCTTTTTTCTTCTTCTTTCCCTCACTCCTCTCAAGTCATTCATTCCTTTTTGCAGTTGGACGGCATTGTGCTTTCTCATGATCATAACATTGCTATCAAAGCGGATTCTACTGGCTGGCGAGAGTTGGCTGCCCGTAACCCTAACCTAAGTGGTTGAGGGCACCACTTATGGTTAGGGTTGATTCGTGAGGGAAGTGGGGCAGCGTGGTCAAGGGAAGCTGCCCCCACCTCCTTACGTCGTGTTGGGTCGACACTGGACTTGACTAGGTTGTTTGAGAGTAAGTTTGGGGTGGTGAGACATTTTGTGGAGACTTTATGCGACAGTTTGAGAGAGGCGACAGTGAGAGACACCCACACCTAGAATTTGATTTAGGGGAGATACCTGGCGATTTTAGAGCTTCCCTCAAGTAGGCGAGCTTTAGGGAAAGTAGTCATTCTGCATCTACGGACTGCAAGTTGCTACTTTGTTCTTCAGCGTCGACGGGGGATCCGACGTTGCACTGGGGTGTTGGAGTCAGACCCTCCTAGGAGATAGGACACTAGTGTAGGGGTACCGTTGTCGGGCGGCCGCAGATCAGTCGGCCACCCGAAATGAGGGTTTGAGGAGTCTACGTCTGTCGACTACGCCCATTTTTGACTCTTCTTTTATCGGACAGGTGAAGGAAAAAATGGGGTCTCCGGGTCGACCGCTGTTTTCTGCCCCTCCACTCACTGATACAACCCCTACTACTATATATTTTAACCTACTATTTTATCTTATTTTGAACACCGCTTATGGGGGTCTATTTTCCCTTTATTTTCCTTTTCTCTGACGCTCCGTTACAAACGCGCGTGCGGCCTTCCGTGCGAGCGGGTTTTTGTGACAGAGTCGATGTCCGAATTTTATTTATTTTAGCGGCGGTATTAAAAATCAGAAGTAAACTAAAAAGCAATTAAAAGGAACCTAATCCTCACAATTTTCTGTAACTCTTCGGTTTTGTGCCTAATTATGTTTCCAACTGTTATTACCCGATTCGTCCTACTTTATGAGCCCCTCTTCGATCCCTATTTTCGCATGTGAACGACCCCGCGCATACTTGCATTTATGAGACTTCCGGGTGCTGCGGGGGATTGGCTGTTTGGAGGGGTTTGCTGGGTGATGTTGCGGGAGAATCACAAGCGGTTATCGGGTAGCTGAAAATTCAGGAATGAAAATTCTGAAGTGAGAGTTTCGGGCAGTCTGAAAATTCTGAATGGTCTTGAAGTGGTGAAAGGTTCGAAGACTCTGAAAACCACCTGTTTAGGCAGGCTGTATCCTGAAGTGGTGAAGGGTATCCTGAAGTGGTCAAGTGAGAGTTTTGGGCAGTCTGAAAATCCTGAATGGTCCTGAAGTGGTGAAAGGTCTGAAGACCATGAAAACCACCCTTCACCACTTGAGGATGCAGCCTGCCTAAACAAGTGGTTTTCAGGGTCTTCGGAACTTTCGCCACTTCAGGACCGTTCATGATTTTTGGACCTGAACCCTGAAGTGGTGAAAGGTCCGAAGACCCTGAAAACCACCTGTTTTGGCAGGCTGAAGTGGTGAAGGGTGTCCTGAAGTGGTGATGAAAAATACGACTGTTGTTAACCTTCTCTCGGGAGAATATTATCTAGAGGCTTGGACTACAGTACGGCGACTCGGGAATTGTTTGGGTTATGTTGGATCTATTGGAGGGGTACTCTATTTACGGCTTCGATGGTTCGACATCATGAGTCACTTCGGTTCCATGACATTGCACGACACCGATTTACCTTTTGACCTTGCCGACGTCTTTGCTACTACACCCCTGATATGGTCACTCTCTGATTTTTACATGGGTTCCAAGGTTTGATGTGCATTGGTAACTGACCTAGTAAAGGCGCTGGTTCTATTTGGGACGTAAGCGGCCATCCTAGGGCCATTTTCTCCTCCAGCAGGGCTTATTGGGGGCACAATAGCGGCCAGGTACCTGTTGCGAATCAGCGAACATGATACGGGTATTGGTGCAGGGCAATCGCTCCTAGGCTACCAAGCCAAAAACCCTTGGTACCAGGGCAGGCCCGGCGGTTGCTGCGGGCTTGAGGCCATTGGTACCAGCAATCCCAGCGCTTTTTGAGCCAAGGTGCTAGTGAGTCTGTAGGGATGGGCCAGCGGCAGCGGATTGTTTGGGACAAAGACGAGGTCGCGAGAGAGGGGTATAAGTTGGGCCAGCCGAAGGAGCAGTGGCATTCGGAAACTGAGGCGACCAGAGGGAATGGTGCGCATGGACAGCGACTGCAGAGAACGCGGTGAGCTGGCCAATGACATTCCGTGCCTGCTCTTGAGGCGGTCATGGCCGACGTGAAAACTCACCGCCTGCATCGATCAACATAGAGGAGATACCTATGGCGGGTGTTCGTGTGGGTGTACGAGTGAGAGAGGGAAAAGAGCCAGGCTGACTGAAGAGAGAGAGTGACAATCAACACCTCACTAATTAGTGCTCATGTGATCAGCACACAGGAGAGGGATAGGCTCCTGCCACGCGTGCCAATCAAGGGCTAATCAAGGCGAAAGGAAACTAGATCACGCGCAAAGAGGAGACCCAACCACGCACGGGAGCAGGGAGCCCAATCAAGTACAGAGAGAGAGTTGTCACTAGTGAGAGAGAGTGAGTGTTGCTGTCAGTGAGAGAGAGTGAGCGCTGTTGTCAGTGAGAGAGAGAAAGCGTTGCCGCTACAGTGAGAGAGAAAGGGACTGCGGGCAGAGAAAGAGAGCGAGAGAGAAGAGAGTTAGTAAGAGAGTGAGAGTGTTAGAGCAGCGCCTGTACCTCTAACTCTATGAACGTGGTCGTAAAAGTGGCCATGTTCATCCGAGGGTGGATAGATACCAGTAGAACCGATCAACTCTCCACGCACAGGTAAGTGAAGAAGTAAATCAGGGATAAAGTGAGCAATTAGTGAGAGTGATAGGGAGAGTACCCGTTATTGTTATTGTTATTATTATTATTATTATTATTATTATTATTATTATCATCAGTAATCGAGTCTGAGAGAGAGCGGAGAGAGATTGGGAAAGGAGGCATGAGAGAGGGAGCCAAGTGAAGGATTAAAAGGGAGTCGGAGGAAGGCGGGAAAAGATTGGTTGGGGTGACTAGAGCCTTCTTCTCAACAATGTCAAGAATAGTCACCATCAATCAAGGAGCTTGTAATGGAATGAATACATGTGACGGTAGAGGCCAGCTACACTCTTGATGATCACCGCAAATGTTCAAGAAAACTACGCTTCCCACGACGAGATGACTCATTGCCTTATCAGATGCTGACGTGGCAACTTTGCCAGACTCTCCTATTGACAACTCGTTCCTTGATAGCGGTGGTTACTTCACTGTCGCGCTCAATGATTTGCTTGCCCTCTACCGGTATAGTTGAAACTTGGTGAAGTTGTGAATAGGTACAGTGCTGGGGTAGCGTTGAAAAACAAACCCCACCAGGGGAAATGTCAAGTGGTTCAAGGTAGAATAGTTTAGTAGGTTAGAACAGCGGAATCATAATTCACATGTCGGGGGTTCGAATCCCTCTTCCGCCAGTCGTCTATCTATGCTTTCTTTAAGCTTATGTTCGTTTATCTTTTTTTTTTTTTTTTTTTTTTTTTTTTTTTTTTTTTTTTTTTTTTTTTTTTTTTCACG